ATAGTGGATAATATCTTTGATGTGTTCTTGGATCCGGTTTGCAAGTATTTTGTTAAGTATTTTTGCATCAATGTTCATAAGGGAGATTGGCCTGAAATTCTCTTTCTTTGTTGAGTCTTTGTGAGGTTTAGGTACCAAGGTGATTGTGGCTTCATAGAATGAGTTTGGTAATGTTCCTTCTGTTTCTATTTTTTGGAATAGTTTGAAGAGAATTGGAGTTAGCTCTTCTTTGAAGGTCTGGTAGAATTCTGCACTGAAGCCATCTGGTCCTGGGCTTTTTTTGGATGGGAGACTTTTGATGACTGCTTCTATTTCTTTGGGGGATATAGGACTATTTAGTTGATTTACCTGGTCCTGATGCAGTATAGACTGTCAAAGCAGATGCTGAGCCTGATGGCCAACTGATGGGCAGAGTGAATGGAATTTTATGTAAGAAGTGGGAAATAGTAAGAGCTAGAGGGAACGGGAACTCCACAAGCAGAGCAACAGAACAAGATAATTTGAACACAGGGAACTTCCCAGGGACTCCTACTCCAACCAAGGACTATTTGTGGAGATGACCTGGAACCCCTGCACAGGTGTAGCCCATGGCAGTTCAGTGTCCAAGTGGGTTACATAGTAATGGGAAGAGGGACTGCCTCTGACATAATCTGATTGGCCTGCTCTTTGATCACTTCCCCCTGGGGGGGAGCAGCCTTACCAGGCCACAGTAGAGGACAATGCAGCCACTTTTGATGAGAACTGATAGACTAAGATCAGAAAGAAGGAGAGGAGGACCTCCCCTATCAGTGGACTTGGGGAGTGGCATGCATGCAGAAAGGGGAGGGAGGGTGGGATTGGCAGGGGAGGAGGGAGGGGCTTATGGGGGGATACAAAATGAATAAAGTGTAATTAATAAAAAATAAATAAAAGATTTAAAAAAAAATAAATAAAAAGAAAAAATGTATCTGAGGAACTGTTTCATAAGTTTTAAAACATATTTCTTTCATTCATTTCCTTAAGGCCTAGAAAGTGATTGCATCTAAAAGCAGACTTCTCAAATATGATAATACTGGAAATTGAGCTGCTTCTGCTTAATGGGTGCTGTTCTACAGACCCCGAACAGGATGCCTGAGAGTATTAAACATCTTATTTGTGTAGCTCCACAGAGTTTCCATTTTTAAGTCAATTATTAGAAAGGGCTATTTAAAAACCTCCACAGGGAAAGACATTTTTTGACATCTTACTTCATCATATCTCAGACATGCACATCTTCTGTCTCATTGTTCTGAAACGCAGTTGTGTACACTGAGAACAGCATAGCCACTTAGAATATTTCCTGATACATATTGCCACAAAAATAAAACGATAATTTTAGGAGAGGCCACTTATTGGTTTCAGCTCTTTTGTTAAATATGCTTCTAATCTCAAGGATATAAAACAAAACACAAGAGCAATTAATCTTAGGTTGAATTTATGTGAGTGTTTTCATACAGTATTAACAGTCAAAGTTCCGAGCTAAATTTTGAGAAAGAAGGTGAATTAACCACTTGGCTCTACAGTGTGTATTCATGTCCATTAAACTTACCACAACATTTTCCAAGATGAGCTCCCCATATGGCTGAGCAGTGTATTTCCCTAAAGAGTTGGCAATGAGAACACTGTCTTTTTCCCAGTGAATTGCAGGCGTGGGGTTTCCATCAGCAAGGCATGGGAGAACAGCTTGCGAGTTCTCGTTGACTGCGTAGTGTACTTCTGTACTTTGGATTCTAGGTGGCACTGTGAAGAATTTAAACACAGTCACCCAGAAATTTGAGCTCGCCTTGAACATCAACACAGAAAACACCCCTTGGAGGATGACTTTGTTAAGAATAAGAAAACAAACCCTACGGAATATTTTATCACAGACAATCAACATTTTCTTAAGTATTTCTTTTAAAGTTCATACATGTATATAATGTATTTTAATCAGGCCCACTCCTCTTCACCTACACAACTTTTCCCCATGACCCCTACAACACACCTCTCTTCAAACCTCATGCCCTTTTCCCCCTTTTACTGAAAACGTTTTTTTTTTCTCACCTAATACATCCTGATTTCATGCTTCTAACAACTGAGCCATCTCTCCAGTTCCTTAATGATTTTTTGATATTTTTTATACATCCGATTACAAAGAAAAGTAAAAAAGGATGTACAGACGCTGTGCTACTTTAAAACAATGAATCAAATGAATCTTTAGTTTTTATGAGGTTCAAACTGCTCGTCTGGGTCATATGCTGATTTTTTTTTTTTTTTTTTGAGCCAAAATGAGTTGAAGCTTCAAGAAGTGAAACAGAAGAGCCACAGAACTCACATGGTCACCACATAAGCCAGACGACCCCAACAATCACATACGAAGGGGGTGTTAGCCACACGCTGATTTTCCTGGAAACGCTGATGTCATCTCTCACACAGATGCGTGTGTTCACAAACAAGTAAACACAGCTTACAGAACACAGACTTGAAAGTCAAGCACGCAGACTCTTTTTTCCACACACGCTCTGGCTTTGACTTCCGTCACATTTGCTTTTGGTGATCTTTTCTTGTCGACACAGCGATGTGACAGATGGGAAGAAATCGTGGTAAGCCACCTACCATGGACGGTGAGTGTGGCGCTCACGCTGCTGGACCCCGCCACGTTGGCTGCCGTGCACGTGTACTGACCGGCATCACCAGACTGAGCAAAGGCTATCTGCAGCGCGCCCGAGTTCAGGATGCGCTGGCGGATGGATTCCGTGAGGGCATGGCCATCTTTGTGCCAGGAGATGTCAGGGGGTGGGAAGCCCTCTGCGTCACACAGTAGAGAGACAGGCTTATCCACTGTAACAACATACTCCTTTTGGCGAGAACTAATGCCTGGGGGAACTGAGAGACAGAAGGTTGGAACTGAGTGTGCACATCACCTCCCAAGGTCCTGCCGCGGCGAGGTAACTCCATGAAGAAACGGAACCCCGAGGCTTCTGCACTGTCAGAAGGGAGCGTTGTAGCTTGGTTTTGTTTGGAACATTAAAATGCATGAGCCTACTTCAGGAAAAGGTTCTCTATAAATGTAAACAATACTCAATTTTAAATGTGATTAAGCCTCTACTCAGGAGGTTTTGGAAGGGTCTCCTTCAGAAGAGTGGGTGAGAAAGTCATGAGGGTCTACAGAAGCATTTTTTACATACACAGACTTTGTGATTCACTTTGGGTTCTTAACCTTCTAAATGGATTCCTTCAAGCTTTATAAAATACTCTACTGCTCAAAGATACTTCTGCATTTCTCAGAGAGCTTATCATGATGTCTCAGCACGGTGCAATCAATATTTACAGACAAATGGATGATAGAAAATAACTATATAGACAAATTCTTCCCATTTCAGAAACCTGCTAAGGATTTCCCTCCCAAGAATTTACAGCAACCACTCACTGCTTAGGTATTACACTGACTTTCTGCCAAGACCCACATCATCTACCATAAAAAGACTCCAAGCACGTATAAATGTCCATGCTAAGATTCCTTATAGAGATAAATGTTACCTGGTTGAATGTGTGCTTCCTACCACACACTAAATCTGCAAGGAGAGAGTCTACCCAGAATCTCTCAGGCCTCTGGGGTCTACAATTACCTCTCTGTGTTTATGGAATGGTTAGATACTATCCAGTATTTAATGTGTGTCTTTGTCTCTTCATTGTTCAACCATTTTAACCATCTAGGGAAAAAGTCAGATCTGAAGCTTCTTTTCTATGACCACAATGTTGTCAAAATTAATGAAAAATTTTGACTTCTAATTTTTTTTTGTGACTACAGTGCATTCAAAACTTGTCTCTTCTAAAATATTACTCTCCTCCAGCCGCCAGCGTGGTTTCCTCTGCCTCCCCAATGGATTCCCCTCTAACAGAGTGAAAAGCAATAGACTGTCCCAGGGCTTTGTCCTTGCCTTCTTCTCTGACCATGCTCTATTCTTTGGGAGTCACATCTAATTTCTGTACTCAACAGTGATAGCATAGGATTTTTTATTTTACCCTATCTATTTGCCATGACCTGTAATCCAGATTCAATGTTCTACTGATACGTGTATCACAATTTTTAAAGTTTCCTGCATTCAACATGACTAAGCAGAAACCACGGCTTCCTTCCCCTAGTGTTCCCTCATGGAATGTCCACTCCCTCATGCTCAAACTTGAAGCCCAGGAGACATATATCTCTCCTTCTATCTATCAAAAGGATCAGCAGTCTTAGATTTTCTTCCTTCAGAGACATCTTTAATCCATAAAGTTCCCTAACTCTTGTGCAGCCCATCCCTTGGCCTCCTCTCTCAGACCATGATGCCTTGACTAGACAAATCCACCCACCCTTCTAGTTCCACCCTTGACTATTCTCAAAGGTATTATCTACACAGTACCAAAAAATATCCAGTCCAAACCAAATCATAATCCTGGCTATACCCTTCGCATAGTGCAGAGAATGAAAGATAACTCCATTGTAGTTTGTTTGGTTTTCAACAATGACCCTACGTTGGGCTAATTTCCTTCATGCTTTTCTGCCCTCTCCTTGCTCATAACTGTCTGGTCACACCAGTATGGACACTTGGGAAAGATGACTTGTCCTTATTCATTAATAATCTGTTATCTCACTCCCTACCCCAAGATAAGCCCACTGTAACCAGTGACCTAATAAAATGACCAATGTTTTTTATTTCTATTATTCATCATTTCAGTCTTTGGTTTCCTTTTGCACAGCACTGACCAGAAGTAATAATCATTTTATTTAAAAGTGATTTATGTTTCTTTCCCCACTAACACAATAAGCATAAGAGAAGAAGCATGTCTACAACATTTAGTGAACTTCTAGTTATTGGTGTTGAATATATATTATAAATGACAATGAAATTTGTCATTTCAGATGACATGAGTGCAAGATTTACTGAATTTGCTAATTATCTACAAAAAAAACTGTACTTGAGGAAATTCAGGATTAATTTACTTAAATTCAGTATCTTAAAATCCATTGTCACTTTACTTGATATTCTAGAAAGTACTCCATTCAAGACATTGAAATTATATTATGAAACTGTTAGTTTAACATGAAAAATTCATGCTCCCCCTCTATCTCTCTCTGATTCTGTTTCTTTCTGTGACTGTCTGTCTATGTCTCTGTGTCTCTTTCTCTCTTTCTCTCTCTCTCTCACACACAATCCCTGATTTTTCATTGTTAGTTTAGCTGTAGTTGTTAAAGTGGATATTATACACACATTTCAGTGTAACCCAAGTAGCAATGTAGAGCTTTATTATAATTTTTAAATTATATGTCTAATATCCACTTATGAGTGAGTATATACCTTTTGTGTCTTTCTGCTTCTGGGATACCTCACTCAGGATGATCTTTTGCAGTTCCCACCATTTACTTGCAAATTTCATGATTTCCTTGTTTTTGTTTTTGTTTTTTTTATTGCTGAGTAATATCCATTGTGTAAATGTACCACAAATTCTGTATCCATTCCTCTGTCCAGGGGATCTGGGTTGTTTCCAGCTTCTGGCTGTTACAAATAAAGCTGCTACAAACATGGTTGAGCAGATGTCCTTGTTGTATACTTCAGCATCTTTTGGATATATGCCTAGCAATGGTATAGCTGGATCTTGAGGAAGCACTATTCCTAATTGTCTGAGAAAGCACCAGATTGATTTCCACAGTGGTAGTACAAATTTACATTCCCTCCAGCATTGGAGGTGGGTTCCCTTTCTCCACATCCTTTCCAGCATGTGTTGTCGGTTGAGTTTTTGATCTTAGCCATTCTGATGGGTGTAAGGTGAAATCTCAGGGTCGTTTTGATTTGCATTTCCCTGCTGACTAAGGCTGTTGAGCATTTCTTTAAGTGTTTTTCGGCCATTTGATATTCTTCTATTGAGAATTCTCTGTTTAGCTCTGTACCCCATTTTTTAATTGGATTACTTGATTTGTTGCTGTTTAACTTCTTGAGTTCTTTATATATACTGGATATTAGTCCTCTGTCAGATATAGGGTTGGGTGAAGATCCTTTCCCAATCTGTAGGCAGTCGTTTTCTTTTGATGACACATATAATATAGGATAAAGCTACTAAAATCTGTACACCTAAAGAAACTAATCAAAAAGGAGGACTCTGGCTAAAATGCTCAATCCTCATTCAGAAAGGCAAAGAAGATGGATATCAGAAGAAGGAGAAAACAGGGATCAGGACAGAAGCCTGCCAGAGAGGGCCTCTGAAAGGCTCTACCCTGCAGGGTATCAAAGCAGATGCTGAGACTTATAGTTAACCTTTGGGCAGAGTGCACAGAATCTTATGAAAGAAGTGCGAAATAGTAAGACCTGGAGAGGACAGGAACTCCACAAGGAGAGCAACAGATCCAAAAATTCTGGCACAGGGGTCTTTCCTGAGACTGATTCTTCTACCAAGGACCATGCATGAAGATAACCTAGAACCCCTGCACAGATGTAGCCCATGGCAGTTCAGTGTCCAAGTGGGCTCCATAGTAATAGAAACAGGGACTGTCTCTGACATGAACTGATTGGCCGGCTCTTTGATCACCTCCTCCTGAGGGGGGAGCAGCCTTACCAGGCCACAGAAGAAGACAGTGCAGCCAGTCCTGATGAGACCTGATAGGCTAGGATCAGAAGGAAGGAGAGGAGGACCTCCCCTATCGGTGGGCTTGAGGAGGGGCATGCATGGATAAGAGGGAGGGAGGTTAGGATTGGGAGGGAAAGAGAGAGGGGGCTAGTGGGGAATACAAAATGAATAAAGTATAATTAATAAAAACTAAAATAAAAATATTAATTTTTTAAATTATACTTTACTAACACTCCCTTGTGTGTGCATGTACAGCTCAGGTGTGAAGATCAGAGAACAACTTAAGGGAGTGAGTTCTCTCCTTCTATCGTGTATTCCCAGGCTTCAAACTCAGGTCTTTAGACTTCATGACAGGCACTTTTAATTCAGTGCCACCTCAACAGTTTCAGCTTGTTTTTCTTGTTAATAATTCTGCTAAAGGGGCTGGATAAACGACCTTGGTGGCTAACAGCACTTGTTGCTCCTGCAGAGTACCAGAACTCAGCTCTCAGCACACACACTGGACTGCTCATGGCAGTCTGCACCTCCAGCTCCATGGGATCTGATGCCCTCTTCTGGCTTCTGTGGGCTTCAGCACTCATGTACACATCTCTCCCACCCCCACGAACAAAAACAAAATAAATCTAAATGCAATCTCACTAAATATGCTACCACCAACAAGAACAAGTACATTTGTTCCCTCTTCATAGCTGATATGTTTATTGCAAGATCCTCTGGATGTCTGAACCTGATGTTATTTACAGAATTTCATATAACCTATGTTTTCCCACAGGCATGCCTATGATGAAGTTTAATTTACAACTTTAATTTACTCTGGCTGCTTGCAGGAACAGACTAATAATGTCCCACGATGAAGCAGGACAATTGATACACTCACTATATGGCTGTGGTCTTTTGCTATCCCATTCTCTCTTAAAATGTCTCACTCTTCTTTCTGTTTTTCACTCACAGGAAGTACTCTTCTTTTTGGTGGCATTTGTGAATTGACCATTCTGCAATTTTTGTAGTTTGAGGATGTCTTGAAATAAAAGAAAGAAGCTTGCTCACACTTTCTGATGTGCTGTGACAGTCTGGTACTGAGACTAAGGCTCAGTTTATGAAGCACGGATATGCTAGCTAGACTTACGTTTTACATGGAAGGAAAGATCTTATTATATTCCTCAGAAGAAATGAAAATCTACAAGCTATCCATTTCTGAAATATTCCATTTCATATTTTTAAAAGATTTATGTATGGATTATGTATACAGTGTTCTGACTGCATGCACACTTGCATGGCAGAAGAGGGTACCAGATCTCATTATAGTGCTCTTCCAAAGGTGCTGAGTTCAATTCCCAGCAACCACACAACTGTCTAGAAAGAGATCTGGTGTTCTCTGCTGACCGGCAGGCATACATGCAAGCAGGGCACGATATAAATAATAAATAAATAAATAAACAAATAAATAAATAAATCTAAAGGAAAAAAAAGACAGAGATCCATTTCATATTTTTAAACCACGTTTAACTATGGGTAACCAGGGCCATGGAAAGGGAAGCTGCAAAGATGTGCCTATTGCATCAAGCCGAGTTTCACAGAAGTCAAACAGGACGGAGGTCCTAGTTTTCTCACACGGACTACAAAGAGCATTTTATGCTCCCTTCTGTAGAAAGGCTCTAGACCCCAGGAACTCTTCTAGGGGAGGACGGAAGATACTCTAAGCTAAGAGTGAAAAGAGCTGTGGGGAGGAGCAAGCCTACTATTTCCATAGGAACAATTAGTATATATTGTAACAAACACCTTTAAAGACATAGCAGACGGAAAGAATAGCCCAGGTACCTTGTACATTCAGCTTGATTTTGCCCAAGGCCGTTCCAGCTGGGTTCTGAGCCACACACATGTAAGTGCCAGCGTCCTCTCGAACAGCTCTGGAGATCTGTAAGCTGCCACTAGGAAGAACAGCAAGGCCTTTGCCTATACCATAGTCATGAAAGCAGAGTGAAAAGAAATTTTACTTTCACTTCATAAAAAGGCACCCAGATTTCTGAACTGCAAGGCACTGAGCATGCTGCAATGCCTGGATTGTGATCATGGCAGGTACCTGAGGTAATGACGTTGATGCCCTCCTTCTGCCAAGTAATGAATGGATTGGGTATTCCTGTCGCGTCACATGGTAGCAGGACGGGGTTGTTCAGAATGACATCCAGTTCGCTCGGCTGGGGCTGAATGACTGGAGGCTCTGCAAAAACCCATCAACAGAAAGAATAGTGCTGCCAATCATAAAGCAGAGCTGCCTGCCTCAGCAATGAGTTTCCATGTGCTAAAGCACAATCCCAAACACCAGTGCCTTGACTGCACAGGAGAAAAGTTCCTGGCCTCACTACGTTCTTTAGATCTTGCTGTATAGCAGCTGTAGTAAAAAACTCAGGTGGAATAACTGATGTTGGAAGAGATCACATAAACCCAAGAAGAAACTTTTTTTTTAGGTTGTTCTGTGTGGTTTGTAATTGTGTGCAATTTTAGCCTATTGAACACTGTCTTCCAGGTTTACATATCCCAAGACATTGCCTGACCTGAAGCTTCACACAGTACCATAAGAATAAGCATGACAGGAAAAACACAAATAAATAATCAGCCCTGCCGCCAACACCAGCAAACTTTGATGGTGTGGTGCTGCAGAGCAAACTCCAAGATTTGCACGTGCTAGAGAAGAACCCCACCCCGGCAAGGTTTCAGTAAGCAAACAGCCTTCCATACCTTGAACACGGAGGGTGGCGTGCCGGTGTGCGGAGCCGGCCGTATTCCTAGCAATGCAAGTGTATCTCCCTGCGTGGCTTAACTGGGCCGCAAATATCTCAATTGCTCCTAATAGGAAAAGAAAGCGTTTCATTTGTTTTTCGTTTTCATGTTTGTTTGCTCTTGTGACGGCTTTTGCCCAGACTATCTTGAAACCTCAAATGTGGCCCAAGCTGCCCTGAAGCTTATCACCCTCCTGCCCTGTCGTTCACAGAAAACAAGTTTTAATATAGTGTATCTTTGTTTTCCTAATTCATTAAGTTATGTTTTCCTCATGTTGCTTTTGAAGTTATCAATAATACTTAATCATTGATGCCTACTTTATTTACCAGAAAGGCTATCAAGCATACTATTTAATAAGCTTTACAAGATATTTGTATAGTTAATTAAAGATAATTGCAATCTAATCTCAAAACCCTTCCAAAAATCTAGGGCCTATTTGTGGTCACTCCCAGCTTTCAAACCAAGCCCTGGGCCACATCCATCCATCTTCTGCCTCAATAGGTTTTCCTTTTCTAAGTGCTTCACCAAGGTGTAATCACATTCTGCTTTTTTGCTTTTGTTACTACTTTCCCTGAAAGCATGTTTTTGAGATTGTTCATTTTAGCATGTGTAATATTGTTTGTATCCCTTTTTACGGCCAAATACGTTTCCTGTTGTGGACAATACCACGTTTATGTATCTTTTCACCAGCTGATGGGCATCTGAATTACTTTCCTCCATCCTCACCCTCCTCAGCTATTGTGGATGAGTCTGTGAGCATCTCTAAAGAACAAGTGCAGACAGGACTTCACGGAGCTTAGATGGAGAGCCTGGACGAAGCACTGACTTTATGGCAACTCCTGGGATACTTAACCCCCCAAGAAAGTTCCACACTGTTTTCTAGAGCAGCACTTTGTGATTACACCTGTGTAGTGTCTTTCTGTTTTATGATAGAATTCTAACCAATCTACTTATCTGAGAGAGCCAAAATATTATGCCTTAAAACCAAAGCAATACGCAGAGAGTTAACGTCTTATTATGGCCCACTGATTAAAGAAATACAAATTCCCTTCGAACAATTCGGTTTAGCTTGAAGTTTTGTGGGACTCTTAACAGTGGGAGTGGGAGTGTCTGTGACTCTTTTTTGCTGCTCTTAGCACCCTCCTTCTCCTACTGGGTAGCCTTCCCTAGCCTTGATACAAGGGTTTGTGCCTCTTCTGCACATTTTCGTGCCTTGTTCGGTTGGCATCAGTGGAAGGCCTGCTCTCTTCTGAAGGAAGATGGAGGAGTAGTGGATCTGGGGGAGAGCAAAGGTGGGGGAAGGGACTGGAGGGAGTAGAGGGTTAGGATGTATTATGAGAGAAGAATAAACAAAAAGGAAAAAAAAACAGAGAACAGACTACACATACTCATGAAATCTTGGGAAGAGTTGGTTCTCAATGTCTCCAGCATACCTCCCTAGTACAGGATCTATTTTCAGTGGAAATCACCTACATTTTCATTTAGTTAAATCACTTTTCTCAGTACTATAAATTGTATAAATATTGGCTACTACCATAGTCAAGGAGTACATTAAAGTATTTACCACCCAATCTTCCTTGCTCAGTTATATGAACCTTAAAAATGGGAGGAGAGGGAAGAGGGAGGAGACTGGGAAGATGAAGGGAGGGAAGGCTAGGGAAGGGAACTGGGAGGAGTGGAGGAAGAAGAGGCTGCAGTCTGGATGTATTGCACGAAAGAAGAGTAAGTAAAAAGAAAAAAAAAAAACAAGAAGCTTATCTTCATCACATAGTCTTAAGGCACTAAATGGATTTTAGATAAACGTTTTAATTGGTCTGTGGGAAAAGTGTGAGTCCCAGCAAGGAGGAAATTTGCCTTTAGTATACCTGGTGACCATGCTTATTAAATCAGGTCAGTTTTAGATATTACATGTTAATTTGTTTCTAGCCTCTTTTTCTTTTTGTCTTTTACCTAGTTCCCCTTCTTATCATTATTGTAGTTTTGGAATGAAGGCTTTTTAAAAATTTTTCATTATGCTGTAACAAAAGGCTGGGCCAGGTTGCCCATTACAAACTACTCCAATTGGTAAGAGTGAACTCCCAGAACAAGGCTTTGTTACCTGAGGACAGAATCCGATAGCCATCTCCTCTGGGAAGCAGTCTTATGCCATTTTTGGTCCAGTGAACTGAGGGAGCTGGAACCCCAGATGCAGAGCAGGTCATGACTGCTGGGGCCTGTCTGGTTACCAGGAAATCCATAGGCTCGTCAGCTATGGTGGGAGGAACTAAAAGAGCAACGAGAGAAAACCATGTTTCCACTCCATCCCTTCACATTCCCAAAGCCATCTTGTCCCTCTTCTCCCCGATGCTCAGAGAGTGAGTGTCAAGCAGGCCTAAGTGGATGCTGCCTGGTGAAAAGAGCACTCTTGTCATTCTGTCTACTTTCAAGCTAATTCTACCTTGGACAGTGAGATCCACTGTTCTCTTGTCCTCTCCAGCCTCACTTGTCACAGTGCACTCGTAACTGGCGGTGTCCTCCACAGAGGGGGATATGATTACAAGTGAACCTGAAGAGAGGAGCCTAGAGGAGAGATTCCAAACATGAGATTCCGTACGTTAGTTGCCATGTATTCTGCAGTAGGTATGGTAAAGTGTCGAGATTAGCCTAAGGAAAGAGCTGCTCATGTTAAATAAGAGTCATTTATCTGATGCAAATTTTGCATAACAAAATCTAACTTTATATGGTGGAGGATCTGAACTTTATATTAATGAGAAGCACCTGTCTAGAAGAATTGCCCAAACACGAATCTTACATTGTCTGGATACATGTATCATAATCAAACTTCGTATCCTAGTGTACAAAGTACGTTGACAGGCGCTATTTAATAGCACAGACTATATTCCTGGCTCCATTTGAAATGCTTTGTTTACATAAAGCATCTCAAAGTGCATCGGTGACTTTGCTGGTGAATATTTGGTTACTTATATGATGTAAGTGAGTAGGGATCTAGCTGTTTCACTTTCTCCCCTGTTTTAAATGCATCTTTCCATGTCATGGCTATTTTGGAGATGTACCGTGCATATGTGTGTATACCTACTTATGCCCATAAATAATTAATTAAATAAACAAACAAACAAACAAGTGCATACATAATCTGGTATATGCATGTATCACATATTTAATGCATATATTTAACAAGCATAATGTGTGTATCTATGTAAATCTTTTGGTAATCTTTCCTTAACTTGTAATTAATAAACAAGAGCAAATGTTTAGGAGGCTTAGAAATATTCACCCATGACTTAATGCAAGTTTAAATTAAAGCATCAGTTTTCTTCAAATTGCAACACTGGAATAGAAACAGTTTGGTGTGGGGCTGAGGAGATTTACTCAATGGTTAAAACACTTGCTTCACAGATGTGAAGACCAGTGGTCAGACGCTTAGTAATCCACATACACACCAAGAAGACACAGTGGCCCATCTGCAGTTCCAGGCTTGGAAGGCAGAAACAGGGGTCCCAGAGTAAGCTGGCTGGTTAGAATAGCTGTATAGGTGGGCAGGTTGGTTGAGAGACCCTGATACAGTAAAGACGGTAGAAGAGCAGGTGAGGGTTATTCCTGCCATCAGCCTCAGACTTCCATATGCACACACATGTGCAGTCATGATATGCTCCACATGTACCCACATACATGTAATTACATGTGCATGCATGTATACTTGAAAATGGAAGAAGTGGGCTTGGTTTCATGGAGGTACATTTGACATGCCTCCTATGCATTTTCCACACAAGGTCTACTTTTAAATCACTGAGTCCAATGTCAAACGTTAAATGGGCGAGGAAGACAGAATGGACAGAGTTTTGTTAGAATCATTCTTGGTTGCATATTTTCTGATAGCTCAGAATTACTTCTTGTCAAAGTATTACCACGACCACATCTGTATTTATTGTTAGCACTCTGGCAGATCCTTGATGGGATAGCTGACTGTTAGCTGAACTGAGGTAAAGGGATGCTGTTGTCTTAAACCAGCAGAAATTCTCAGTGACTTAAAGTTTAGCCTTCAAGAAACCTACACTGCATATTGGAAGTGCTGGCTTCCAATATGGAGGAGTGTAAGAATTGGAGAAAGTGTTGTTTGCTTCTGCCTACACAAGCAACCAAATATCTACCTTATTACAAGGTGATAGATTTGATTTTTATTTTACAACTAAAGCTTGTACTGACTTCCACAGAAGAGTTTGTCTTTTATGTGAAAAGATGTGAAGGATGTGCAAAGCAGGTGGCTCAGAAGTGCAGTTTCTTAGAGGGATATGTCTGAGTCTGGCCACTTAGAAACAGTAGTTAGAAAGGATTTTTAACATCCTTTTATTTGGGGGGGGATATAGAAACAGGGTTTCTCTGTGTAGCCCCGACTCTCCTGGAACTCGCTCTGTAGACCAGGCTGGCCTCAACTCACATAGACCCACCTGCCCCTGATTCCTGAGTGCTGGGATTAAAGGCGTGCACCACCACCACCTTGCATATTTTTAATGTTCCTAACTCAAAGGATATGCATTTATGGGTTGATAGCTATGCCAATTGCCCTGATCTAATCATTACACATTGTATAAATGCACTGAAAGATCATATAGTACCAATTACTATGTACAATAGTGTCAGTTAGAAATTTAACAATATTTAAAATAAATGAATTATTGCTACCTGTATGAATTTTGATTTTGATCTACATTAAGAAGTTGCCCATTTTTTCTCCATTTGATTGACGGTTTTGGTATCCCAGTAGCTTCACAGGCCAGAGTCGTTTGGACATTCACTGTTACGGTTACATTGGTTGGACCCATAGCAACAGATGGAGGAACTAAATCAACAAGAGGAAAACATACTCAGCAAATAACAAGTTATTTGAAATATTTCTGATGAGTTGTTATTAGTAGTTTGCTATACAATCAACGCACAACAAATCATCACAAACTGTACTATGGTGATATTCCCCACAGTAAAAGGACAATAGGTCTTGTCTTGTTCATAATGCAGTGGAATATACTTAGTCTTTGAGGTTCAGGCCTTCATGAGCTCACTAGTTTCAGTTACAAGAAGAAAAAAATTGACCCAAAGAATGGATGTCTTTTTAAAAATTAATTTTATTTATTTTTTTGATTATTACAATTTATTCATTTTTTATACCAGCTGTAGCCCCCTCCATCGTCTCCTCCCAATCCTATCCTCCCTCCCTCATCTTCTCCGATGCCCGTCTCCCAGTCCACTGATAGGGGAGGTCCTCCTCCCCTTCCCTAGCCTATCAGGTCTCATCAGGACTGGCTGCATTGTCCTCCTTTGTGGCCTAGCAAGGCTGCTCCCCCCCACCTCGGGAGGAGGTGATCAGAGAGCCAGCCACTGAGTTCATGCCTGAAAGAACCCCTGCTCCCCCTTTTGTAAATGTGTATTTACCATGGACTTGAAGATCTATCCGTCTACGGTCTGTTCCAGCCACATTGGTCGCCATACACAAATACCGTCCGGTATCTGCGACATGTGCTGATTGAATATGAAGAAATCCATTTCCCAAGACTGAGTATCTATAAGAAGGATCACAGTTAAGTTCTTCTGAATCAATTCTTTTCAATTATTTTCACTGTGACCCAGATGAATGTTAAGGACTTGGTAAAATTTACTGCTAGTATTTTTCTGTTTTGGGCTACATATTTATAGAATGCCATTGGGAGAGGGAAAGGTTTGGTGTGAAGGTGTAAATGAAACAAGTTTGTGATCTTGATGAGTTTTAATCATAGGAATTATGCTTGTAAAATACTTAAGTTTGATTCTCATCTGAGGATGAACACATTAATTCTAAACACAATAAGAACCAAATACTTCATTAGAAAAAAATAAGATTCACATTTCAATTTTTCATTACAGTGTTTTTCCCCCCTTTTTAGAACTGTTACCTCGCATGGCTCTCAGCTAGCACAGCTCCATCCTTTCTCCATGTTATCCGTGGGGTTGGCACACCTTCTGCAAGGCATTCCAGTGCAACTGACTTATTTAGGAGAGTGACAAGGCTCTGGGGACCACCACTGATGCTTGGAGGAACTGAACAAGAAACAAACACAATCATCTAGTTAAAACAAATAGCACAGCCTTCCTAAGAATCTGAAGAACTTGAAGTGATTAGCTTTGTCTACACTAACCTAGCTTAGAATAAGTAGATTTAAAGTCTAACTCTTGAAGTCTCACTCACTCTTGAAGACATCCTGCATTTGAAAATAAAGAACAAATGGGGAGAAGGATTTAAATCCCTGATACAGTATGTGAAATCTGGCCCTCTATGATAGAGGCGTGTGTAAATTCAGCTGAATTCTGATGCAAATTAAAGTTGATATTTCTTATTTCTCTTCAGCCAAATAATGGTCAAAGGATGTTAATGCTGGAACAGCTTCACTTTAAATAAAGAACAGAAAGTGGGCTGTTTTAATGAAAAGCACATCTGTGCTTAATCATGCGAGTCTCAGAACAGGCATTTTATTAATCATAGAGTTCATGTGGGAATACAAAGCCTGAACTTTAATTTTAGTATTAGAGATATTAGTCGTGCAGGTCATCCAGTGTGTTGTAAAATTTCTGGGTTAAAATCCAAAGGGACTGTTAAGGATGGAAATCTACATATCTTCCTGAATTTTGGCAAGTTTTGGCATCCAGATATGCACATTTAAGAAAATTACAGTAGTATGGCAGAGTTTAAGAAACTCGCAACACTGTGCATATGTACAGTATGATAGCGAGCCACCACCAAGCAAGGTGAACTAAATGATGGGCTGTTTGTCATGCATAGATGTAGTGTGCTGGTTTCATCTTAGCTGGATGACTGCAGACTATCTGGACCTGCTGATGACTCTGTGTGTTCGTGTGTGTGTGTGTGTGTGTGTGTGTGTGTGTGTGTGTGTGTGCTGGGTGATTGCGGGATATATATGTACACTTGTGTGTGAGTGTCTGTGTGTGTTGTATTTCTCTATGATGGTGTAATATATCTCTAGATCTATATTTCGGAGCTGAATTAATTTGTTACATAGGTCTGAAAGCAGTCCTATATGTTGCTTTTGCAAGTAAATAACATGACCACAAAGATTTATTTAATATGTTCTTGAAAAACATTATCGTCTCTTCTAACACCCTTGGAGAAAATTTCAAATGGTGAAACAGTAATTGGCCTTACCATTTACAGTGAGGAGAAATTCTCTTTTCGTCTTTCCTGCGATGTTACTGGCCACGCAGGTATAATTGGCTGTGTCTCCAAGGTCTGCATTATTAATTTGTAAGTATCTTCCTCCAGATAGGATTCTTACTCGAGGTGTTGCCTGGATTCAAAAAGTAAAACCTATCATCAAAATGTCAGCGAAATATAAATAAAGTGTTATCTTATTTATTTTAAAGGTGTGTGTGTGTGGGTGAGAGAGAGAGAGAGAAAGAGAGAGAGAGAGAGAGATTTGTGTGCATGTGTTTGAGGGTGCTTGTAGAGGTCAGAAGGGGTGCTGGATCTCTGCAGCTTGAGTTGGAGTTGGCTGTGAGGTACCCAGCATGAGTGGCTAGGAACTGAACTTGGGTTCTCAGAGGCAGCAGCAAGCACTCTTAACCACTGTGTAATCTTTCCAGACTCCAGATGCGATTTTTTGACAGCAAAAATAACCGGAATGAACCACAGAGCTTCCATTCAGCAAAGTTTGCTTATGTATTAGCTAAGGTCCCTTCGACTGTCTGAGTGATGCAGGTTAAGTCAAGGGGACAGCGCCTCCAATGTTACAAACAAGAAGGGCAGAGCAGATGATTCAAATCAAGCCTTTCCCAGTCGCTTTTAGGAATATTTTTCTAGAAGCCAGGAACTACCAGAATTAGGGTAATCAAAGCCTTCAAAGTCAGCTTTCATTTGGCTGGAAATGGCTGGTGAGGATCTTGCGTTGATGCTATGTCAGCAGTTAGTTGTCACCCAAGCACAGGGAATGTTGGGAGAAACTTTGGCTATTCTTTGGGGTTCTGATATCAAAAACCTGTCTGTAGGGATATTAGAGCTGTGTCAGGCTGCTCCTGAGGCCAAACTCCAACCAGGGAAACTCAGTAACAGCTTCGTCCTGGAGACGTGTTACACCAGTTCTTTTGTGCTCTTGATGGTTCCTACTCTTTTGGCTTATGACAGCTGAGAGTTTCAATTTTGGACTTCAATCTATAGGCTTCAGGAGACACAACAACGTGTCACTTTCTAGACTCATGAGTTTGAATATCTGCTAATAAGCTAATTGAATATTAGCTTAAATCAACTACTAAGCAAAGGCTACATAGGGAAGCCAGTTGACCAAAGGCCCCTGTGACTGCCTGCGCAGTGGGAGCAGCTAGGAGCTGCTTTGACTACTTCTCAAAGACTCCCCAGCTGCTTTTGTCTTTTAAAAATTAGTCTGTGGAAGTAAGTGGAATGTTTACCTGTAACTGCTCCCCATTTTTGAGCCACATGATCACAGGTGGGGGCACTGCATCTGATTTGCATTCCAAAGTCACCTGTCTGTTTCTTAACACAGTGAAGTCCTGCGATTCATCCATTCCAGCGATGTTAGGAGGCACTAAACATGAGAACACCGTATCAAGCGCATTTGATAAATGGAATGCGAATGACCTATCTGTGTCCAACAATGGTTAAGTTTACCGTATGATAAAAGCATGAACTTCAACTGTTAGTCATTTAATTTATGCTGCATATAATTAACAAATTGGACCTTTATTATTCAGCAATTTCTCATTAGTTAAATAATTAAATCTTACTAACAGAGACATGAATAATAATAAGCACATCACCATCACCATTTGGCAGGTGATAAGGAAATGCAAGCACATGGTTGCTTCAGTCAGCATCCACACTGGAAAATATTTTCCCCTGACTATTAAAAAATTATAAAATCAGGAGATGCCCTCGTAATATGAAGAACCCTGTCTATTCTTCTTGACATGCAGACATATTTCTCAATAACTCATAGTTTTGGGTTTACTTAGGTAGGTCTAAATTTTGAGTAGGGAAATCCAGGATACTTCAGTTCCAGACTGAATCTATATTGGTTTGGTAAAAAAAAAAAAAAAAAAAAAAAAAAAATCTTTTAAGTTTTCAAACAACCCTACTATGAAGAGTGATTTTAATTTTTATATAAAATAATATTCAAAAGGACTTAGTTAATACAAACTTTATGAAAAGTAACAAGGCAGTTATTTGCAAAATCTTTAAGAGTATATAATATGTATATGCCTGCATGTGCAAATAATTATACTACAGAAAAATTTAAAATAAAGGGAATAGGCTAATGTATTCTCAATGTAGATAAAAAGGCAGAAACTGCCTAAAGATCCCCAAACAGGGAGTAAGATATAGAGCAACATGCAATCTTAAAAATGATGCTATAAAATATATTTGTTAACATAAAAATATTCATCACACCATTAGGTGAGTCATAAAGCAAATTAAGTTCTGTGTTCTTTATTATCACTTTTTTGATATTTAGGATCATCCTGTTTCCCTAGCCAATGGCAAACTCTAGGTTTAAGCAATCTTCCTTCCTCAGCTTCTCTTGAAGCTGGGACTAGAGATGTATGCTACTGTGTCTAATTATGATCACATTTTCTTCAGTAAAATGTTGACATGAAGAAAAAAACATTGTATTCTTGTGTGGTAAGACTAAGGATTATTTTTATTCTTTTCATTCTTATAGTTTATGTTCCATTATTTTTAAATCAACAAGTTTGAATTGTGTGAAAACAAGACAGTAACTCAAAACTCCACTGAACTACATCCCAGATAGCACATAAGTTATTAATTGTAACAATAAATTTTGTAAAAATATATATTCATCAATTTATAGACATATGATGTTTTGTGAAATGTCAAGATCATCTCTACTATGGTTTCTAACCAGGTTAGATCAAACATAAATCACCAAATTTACCATGTACTCTCACTAAATATTCTTTATCAGCATCTCCTGCAGGACTGGATGCCAGACAGGTATATCTTCCTGTATCCTCCACCTACAAAACCCAAACAAACAAAGTGTACAGTGAGTGTTACTACTTTGTTGATGGAAATAAGAATGCATTAGAACTAATAAGGCTACCATATAAGGCAAAATAGCATGAGGCAGTGCCACAGATAAAGCAAACTTTATCACTGTGGTTAGTGTTTTGATAGTGCGCATTGGTTGACATCTCTGTTATGTATAAAACTATATTTAAAGGAGCTTTAGAAATTGTTATAAGGATATCAAAAAGGCATATACAAATACATAGCTATGCATGTTTATAAAAGGTCTAATATCAAATATGTTAGCTCAGATGATCAATATTTAATTTGAAGAAATAATGTTCACAGGTTCAAGTTGTAGACCATAAGCTTGACTTACATTCTTTCTGAAGAAAATGTAGTATATTTATAAAAGCAGCTGATAAACAGAGCACCAGATTACTAAACCAAGCAAACTCATACCACATCACGACTCTGTGTTTGAGATATATGGTGACAGAACATTGTTTGACAGCAGAACTTGTTTGACTGAAACCCAAGCCACTTGCTTAAAAATCCTCATCTGTATGTTTGACATTATACCAACACCATGTCTGGAGACATTATCCTGGTAAACAGGTGACCCTACTATTAACAAAAACGTTTTATAAAAGTAAGAAAGCCATCTCATTTATTTTACTACTTGAATATTTTCAGAATATTGGTATTTAAAAAAATTCATATATTCAAAATTGACTTTACAGGTTATGAAAAGATTTTTGTTAGGCTGCACAAATTCCCTTAAAAGATTTAAGACTAGAGTGTTTGAAAAACGTTTAAAAACACTGTAGACAAATGTCCACATAAGCCTTTGATTAAGAATTAGAAAATGGAGGTCTGGGGGAGACAGTTCAGTGGGGAAGAGCTATGAAAGCTATGAAAGCATGAGGGCCCAGGTTCAGATGCCCAGCAGCTATTTAAAGAGACACACATGGCCACATGTGCCTGTAACCTCATCACTGGGGAGATGAGCTACGGGGATCATGAGATCTCTGTGGTCAGCCACCCTAGCCAAAAAGCAAGCTTCTAGCTCAGCAACAGAGACCGTATCAAAACAATAAGGTGGACAGAGTGAGAGGGGCACACTGAACATCTTGCTCTGGCCTCCGCATGCTCTGTACACTCCCATGCATATATCACACACACACAGACACACTGTGTGCATGTGTGCGCGCGCACACACTGATCCTTTACTAGAGGATGACATTTGATTTCCTCATCATCTCTTTCAAACCTCTAACTCACTCTTCAGCCACTACCACCATCTTTTCTATTTCCCCTCATGAGTGAGAGGTGACAAAAGTTCTACCAGAAGGCCAACAATTAACCAGGGCCCAGAAGGGCCTGTGGAGTCTGAAGCACCAACCTGGGTCCTCTACATATATGTAGCCGATGGGCAGCTTAGGCTCCTTGTGGGATCAGTAGTTAGGGGAGTATGGGACATCTCTGACATGGACTATGTTGCCTGCTGTTTTGATCACTTCCCCCTGATGGGACTGCCTTACCAGAGCACAGGGGAAAAAGACAAACTCAGTCCTCATGTGAATAGATGAGCTGGGATTTATGGGTAGGGGGGGCTCCCCTATTCTGGGGAATAAGGAAGGGGGGATTTGGCTAGGAGGAGAGAAGAGAGGAGCCTATGGCAGAGATGTAAATTGAATTTTTAAAAAACCCTCTAATTTTTCTCTGTCAACCCTTGTTCATTCCAGATTGATGAAATTGCCTTCATTTGTCTTCAGTTTGCCAAACTTGAAGCATCATTGGCAACTACTCACATTTTACTTCCACCAGGAAATATTTCCTAACAACTTGTTTCCTTCTGCATACCAGAGTCATTACTTATAGTTACAGTTTTATATGTGCTCTGCTGATAAGTTTGAAAAGTGATAATTAAGTAGCCGTTCTTTGACTTTGGAGAGCTACTGACATTCTCTGTGCTTCGGGAGAAGAAAGTACAGTGACAAAGCTGGATAGATGTATTTGATTATAGGGTGGGATCTCTTTAGTTTACAATGGGAGATAATTCAGGAAACCAATGTCTATACCATTCAATTCAGAATTTGCTAAGCAGCCATTATATGCCAGGCATAATGCATATAGCTGAGCAATACATCAAAAGACAACGGTCGGACAGTCGTAAATACTGTGATAGGTGTGCATGCAATGCCACAGTAACACAACATGAGCAGCAGAAGCAGGGGCAAGCTTGAGCCTTGGGCATGTTTCATTTTCCATCTCGCTGCTGTTTCCTGTGGTTGGCTTTGTTCACATCTGGTGGTATCGTGCATGAAATTTTATTTCCTTGAGAGGGAGGGAAAGTTCTTGAAGGGTTTTTAATTCAGTGTATAGTTTGAAAGCTTAAGCTGACCATTCTGGGTTCCTGCTATGTCTGGAAAGAAAAGAGGAGAAGACATGTGCACCACGACACTGACTGTGAGCTGTCCTGAGGTCTGCTGGCTCCATTACTTACTTACTGTGAATTAACCTGCATGTCTTTCAAGATAAATCTTGTTGTTCTAGGTCATAGAGAATGAGGATTATAACAGTAGCAGTAACAAGATTTTAATTCTTTTATCTAATTTTTGTTGTTACATAACATACTCCTACGGCAACCAACACCAATATATCATGCCCCATCATCTTTTGGACCCCAAGAATATTCAACTTATGTTATTAATTATTAATATTATTATTCTCATCATTCTTAGTACTGCTGTTATTTTTTTCTAAAGTCTACAAATGAGGACATTAAGGCACTGAGGAAGAATTGTGTAATATAATGTTTGCCTTTATTATTAAGGGAAAATATTTACATATATCCCAGACTTATGTTTAATATGTTCATATTTCAGATCAATTCCTTTAAACATAAGCCAGAATAACCACCCAATTTCACTGAAAGGTCCTTGCCTAACACTGTTTTTCCAGCTTTCCATGTTAGCTAATTCTTTTTGGGAATCAAAAGTGCTCTCTGAAATCTCACACATTATAAGTTGGAATGCTTTCTGCTACGTAGTCAAGAACTACATAGGAAAAAGTGAGAGCTTTAGGAAACATGTTAACACATGGAGTTTTGAAAACACACTTAAGATAATGAGAGGGTATCTTGCTTCATTTGAAATGCCATGTTAGATTCTACATCTTTCTCCCACTTATTTCCCTAGTCATAGATATCAAAGAGGCAATCTACCATTTGTAAATAGAGGTAGATAATAATGTAGATACTAGTGATGTATTCAGATGCACAGATATAATTATGCAATAGCATTTATTTATTTATTTATTTATTTATTTATTTATTTATTTATTTATTAGGGAATAAGAAGCTAAAATAGATAAAATAATTGTGTGAATGGTGACACTCACTTGAGCCCTGGACACTCGAAGAATGGCTCCTCCTTCTAGAGTCTGTACTTGATCTGTCTGTGGAAAGGGCCGGCCATCTTTCATCCAGGAAACTTTTGGGACAGGGATTCCAGAAGCAATGCAGGACAGTTCAAGTGGGTTATTCACAATTACGGACACCTCTCCAGGTCCTTCAGATCCATTGATGTGAGGTGGTTCTAATGAAATGGAAACAGACAACAGAAAAAGAAACTTGTTTTATAAATGAGGGCATCAGGGCAATGATGAAGAATCTTTGTAATATAAAGTTTGGTTTTATTATTAACATGAAAAATATTTACAACAATATATCACATATATATGTGTATACATATATATGTGTGTGTATATACACATATATAAAACATGTTCATATTTCAGATCACTTTCTTTAAACTGATCTGATTTTAAAAGCTTGAAAAGAAAAATCCAACTCAAATTTACATTCCTATCACATAACACATTTAGAATATAGAGACTAAAATGATCATTCCTAGATGGTCTTAGTTCCTCTCACTGGCAAGAGTTCAAAACACTGGGGATAGTGATTTCTGCACAGAACACATTTGTTATGTCTAGACAGGAGTAGCTTTCTCTTTTACTATTTATACTTCTAAAATTACCTTCCTCCAGAGAAAGTTAAAGAATCTAAACACTGGGAAGGAACATTAATGATCCTTGGCTCAACTACTTCTAAATTTAATCCTTTTAAAATGGAATTTTCTTACAGTGAGCAGTGAAAATTTTCGGGGAAAAATTTGTAGTTCAGGCTATAGGCTATGGGGTCAGAAGGGAGTCAAAGTGGATGTTGGACAGCTCCAACAGTGAGCTGAGGGCTTTTGTCTTTGTTTTTGTTTTAAACAAGGAACATAGTTTAGAATCTGACTCATAAAACCGCATCTGATGTCTGACTGAGTCTGAACTGAGCACAAGGGTTGTTAGCTCAGGAGAACTGGACAAAACCTCAAAAAGAGGACAAGAGTCATAGGACACCACATAGCATAACTGGATGTTCCACATTTCTTTTAAACTTACCTATGTTTTATTTTAAATTAAATGCTTTGCAAAAAGAAGCAGCCACTACAACTTCTATTGTAACATTTTACATTATTGCTGGAATTTACTTTTTAAAAAAATTAATTTATTTTTTATTTATTACAATTTATTCACTTTGTATCCCAGCTGTAGCCCCTCTGTCATCCCCTCCCAATCCCACCCTTCTTTCCTCTTCTCCCCTGCCCTCCCCTAGTCCACTGATAGGGGAGGTCCTCCCCTTCCTCTTACCCTAGCTTATCAGGTCTCTTCAAGGCTGGCTGCATTGTCTTCTTCTGTGGACTGGTAAGGCTGCTCAACCTCTCCCTCCCCCATCAGGGAGAAGTGATCAAAGAGCGAGTCACTGAGTTTATATCAGAGACAGCCCCTGTTCCCATTACTCGGGAACCCACTTGGACACTGATCTGTGCAGGGGTTCTAGGTAATATCCATGAATGGTCCTTGGTTGGACCAAGGGTCTCAGAAGAGACCCTGGGCACAGATATTTTGGTTCTGTTGTTCTCCTTCTGGAGCTCCTGTCCTCTCCAGGTTTTTCATCTCCTCCTTCTTTCATAAGATTCCCTACACTCTGCCCAAAGTTTGGCTATGAGTCTCAGCATCTGGAATTTCCTTTTAAAACTTTTGTTAACTCTCGTTTTCCTATTTAGTAAAAGACAACACAGCAAATCTATCCCCCCCCTCTCTCTCTCTCTCTCTCGTCTCCAAGTAGAAAGTTTGTGTGTCTTAAGCATTATGCCAGAGGTCCACTTCAGCCCATCTGACATATGACTGTTAAATATATATTTTACATGCCTTATAAGTCTGAAATATGGTTTCCCAATTGAAAGATTATAATGGCTCCACATGGCTAACTGAATTAAACAAAATTCTATCTCTAAAGCTTGTAACATTATCTCCTTTAACATACTCACATGAGACCAAGACTTCAAATTAGACTTCAAATGGCCGTGTCCTTTAATGCTTCTCACAGTTCACACCACCCATTGCCTGAGCTTGGTTACGTATCATCAAGGTTCTATGAGTGATAGGAAGCTTCCTTATAGAAACCAAATCCTGTTTTGTAACTCTCTACTTCCTTTAAACACCGAATAGGTTGGTTGTAAGAGGTGAAAGCATTAATTTGGCTCTTCATTAAACTACAATCGATTTTTCATTATTTATTCTTATTTATTATTTGCTACATGCCAGTCATGCAGACAGAAAGATTCATTAGGTATCTCTTCACTCTCAAAATTATGGTCCCTAGCTTAGGGCAGCAGCAAGAGCAGCATGGTTCCTGCTGCTTCAACCTCTGGTCTCCAGTTCTTACCTATGTTAGCTGAAGGCCAACGATTTCACTTTGTATTTGCCCTACATGTGTTATACTCAGGGAAGATGGGGAATTACCTCAACTTTGAGCCTTCAAAAATTTGTATTTACTGTCTAAATCCCAGTTTTGAGCACTAAAATAATAAATACCATTATCAACCAAACAGCTCCATTTCTATGTTTCATAAAAACACTCCAAATTGAGCTGACACTCAGACCACGTTTTTGGTTTCTTTTCCAATATCTCTTGCACTTGTGTGATGGATCTACTAATAATTTAGTCACATAGTCTGGAAATTAAAGTTTATCCTTGAGTCTCCTCCTCATGAACTCCATATTCAAAACCCAGAACTAAGCTGAAATAATTTGCAATTATTTATAAAAAACATAAAATTTATATTTCCATCACTATAATGTGAGCCACGATACTGTTCATAAAGCCAGAGCATCTTCCTTTCTTCTTGTATGTATCTCCTGCTCATCCTTTTCATCACCACCATCACCATCATCACCATTACTATTATCATTGTAAAACTATGTCTTAACTGCCCTGTGCAGCTCTTGTGACCTTTGTTTTTAATATAACATTTTACATTTATTCTTTGCAAGTTTCTTACATGCATGAAATATATTTTGATTGAATTTGACCACCCCCCTTCCCGCTCCTTCAGGGCCTCTTCCCCTTTTCCTTCTAACTTCATTCCCTTTCTTTTATTTATATATATTCCACTGAGTCCAATCAATAGTGCCCATACATGGGTGTGGGGACATCCATTGGAACATGATTATTCCATCAGGGACCATGACCCTGAAGAAAACTGACTTTGGCTTCCCCCTGAAGCCATCACCTGTCAATAGCTCCTCCGTTACAGGAGGAGCTCACAAGACTTTCCTCTATCCATGTTGACTGGCATTATCTTGTGCAGGCAGCCACAGCTGCCACGTGCTTGAAATGGTCCAGAACCCAATGTTCGCCCCAGCTATCTCCACCCTCTGGCTTGTATGATCTTTTAATAACTCTTCCATGATTTTATAAGCCTGTGGGGAGGTGACATGACATAGACGTCCCACTTATCTACACAGTATTAGTTAACTCTTAATCGCTTCTAAGTAACCCCAGTTTCATAAGGGTTTGTGAAGGGGTAAAAATTATATCTCTTAACCGATTCAGCACGTGTTAGATGGAACAGTATGTGGTACTGTTGACCAGTGAAGTCTGAGCTTTATGTGGAGCTTTTAAGAAAGTCTACAGAGAGCCAACTCCTTGGCCATAGACTTTTTCTCTTTGTCCTGCTCTAGTCAGGGCTGAGTTCTGCTGGAGGTTAAGGGGGATTTGCAAGATCACTGACTGACCATGACACGAGCATCAAGAGAAGAGCCAACATCCAAACTGGCCAGTCAGGGCAACAACGGTCACTCTCCCAACATCTCACTAAATGAGAAAAGCACATGTTCTTAGGACCGAGGCTGTCACTCAGGGACAGAGGGCTTGCCTAGCATGCTCAAGGCCCTGGGTTCACCTCTGCATCACAGAAACAAGTTCAGATCTTGTTAAAAGCCAGAAAAAAATCTTAAGCAAGAAATATTAGGCTCAGACGTAATTCTGAAAACTCATTCTAGTGACAGAATGAAGAATGAATTAAGGAAGCTGTTGTGCTCATGCTGGCCTGAAAAATGACAACCCTGGTCCGGGATGTGTGACCACATTCACATTGTTTGTAACAACCAATACCACAGTTCCTAAGAGCACACTGCTCTCAGAATCCATTGTTGACTTTTCTCTTTACAGCCAGACTGCTCTTTACAAGTCAAAGAAAATTGTTATTATGTTGTGCTCACTACACCTTGTAACAACTTCTCATTTCTAGAGGATAAAACCGGACCGTTCTTTCAGGATTAACTCACACACACACACACATTTGGATTTTATTTAATTTATTTAGTTCGAGAATTTTTTACAAGCATATAATGCGTTTTGATTCAATGAGCCCTATTCCCTCCCCTCTAATTTCTTCTGTGCCCACACTGCATCATTGAACTCCCAATTTCATGTGCCTTGCTGAGCTGCACCCACTCAGAATCTGCCTCTCTGTGCACAGGTTAAAGGCAGTCTACTGCAGCACTGGTAGACCCCCAGGGGCCGCGTCCCCGAAGAACACTGACTTTCTTTTCCCCATCAGCCATTAGTTGCCAATAGCACCTCAGCCAGGAGTTGGAACTTCTTGAGTCTCTCCCCTACCCATTGCTGGATTTTGTCAGGCTTGATCTTGTGCAGGTCTTATGCATAAGGCCACAAACGTTGTAAGATCATGTGTGCAATGGCCTTGCACACAGTCCAGCAAATACTGTTTTTCTGCAGATGTTCCCTGCCTCTGGCTCCTCCAGTCTGTCGGACCCCTCTTCTGTGATGATGCCTGAAGGTTTTGGGAAGGATGTGATATAGCTGTCCCATTTAGACCTAACAACTGCAAGGTCTCTGCTTCTCTGCATGGTGTGCTTCTCTGCATTAATCACCTTCTACTGCAAGAAGAAGCTCCTCTTAGGAGGGCTGAGAAGTGCAATGCTGTGAAAACTTCACAATTTGTCATGACATCCTGGGCCCTGCTCCGCTCAGAGTTTCACAGTGTTGGATGCTCTCTCTCGCTTTCTGTGTTCTAGCCACTCGGTACTTTTGCAAAGCCACTAATCAATCCTGACACCTCCCACCACTGGCAGAGAGTTGACTGTAGCTGTTCCCCAAATGGAGACGTTTGCAAGCTGAATAGTGGTTCCACGAGAAAAGCTTTTCAGAGCTTAATGGGATTAGTTTTCAGCACATGGTGAGACACTTCTCATCTTTCTGTTTCCTGGAAGCATTATCCTATAAACTCGTCATCCTGGAGGGCTGCCTTTGTACCTCACCCCAGCAGCAGCATTGCTGGTCTTTCCTTTATTTGCTGCAATAATGTGTCTGTCTATGTTTCTGCTTCTGGATTCTCTCTCCACTGTCACATGCAGACCAGGCTCTTGTGTTTTCAGGCCTCGATGTACACAACATCTTCTTCAATCCGTTCTTCATTCTCACCAGAGGGATTTTTTTTTTCAGAAGAGGCATCTGGAGATAACTTAGCATTATTCTTGACTTTTAATGAGTCTAATACCCCTGGAGTTCTGTCAAGGCTCTGTACAGAAGGCCCTTCTCCTCACCTGGCCTCATTTCACCCACTCATGCTCAGTTTCCATGAGTACAAACTCACAATTAGGATCTATCACCTACAGGTTAAGCAGGCAAAAATCTTCAACTCACCCTCTCTCCTACAGCCCACCATTCCAGGCTCAGATGGATTTAAGGGAAGATCTACTTTGGAACTCACTGCCCTACAGATTGTTATGTTAGCCACTCTACCTTCATCACACCAATACAACAACAACACAACAACAACAAGAGCAAAACATTAGGTCTTCAGTTTCTTTGTCTCCTACTCCATATGTAGGAACTAGGGGCTGAATTCAAATCTTTTCCATTGGATGATAATTCAATTGCCTGAAATTCAATGATTACATAGTAGGCCTTCCCAATTGGCATAGGGAAACATGCCCAGCACATAATGTGCATACAACAATTAATATTTAATATGTAAGCGATGAAGAGCTATGTCATATTATTTCATCCATTGTTATTCATGCTGATAAACTAATGGGTAGGGATTTGTAGCCTGCTCATCTCATTTATACAATTCCCAGTTTTGTGTTGTTTTATATGTGTCTAAATAGCCTAGAAAAAAAACTTCTTCTGCCCCCACCTTTCTTCCGATTTGAGGACTCAGATACACCAGAAAGAACTTCTCATTTGGTTTACTAGAATATTGTTCTTCCTCCCTCTACGGATAAAACTCCCATTAGCACAGCTCAGAAGCACGTAGTTTGGTTTCAGTTCAACCCAACAAACACACACCAGGAATTCCTGGTGTGTCACACATCATACTGAGCACTAGGCCCCAGCAGTAAGTAAGATGAGTGCCGCACTCGCCCTCATAAAACTTAACTGGGGATAGAGACAACTTTTAAAGTAACATAAATAATTGAATTTTAATAGGTGTTCTGAGAAAGATTACAGAGCACCCTGAAAACATATGTGAGGCCTTTATAACCAAGATTCCTGCCAAAAAAATATTTTTTTTGCTCTTCTCAGTAGGGGGCATATCTGTTCTGTGAAAAGAGTATGGCAGTTCCCCAACAGCATAGTGAGAGGAAAACCTCAAAAAGTCTTTACTATCATAATAGGTAATTTCATTTATCCTTTTTTTTTTTTTTTTTGGTCCACTGTCAAGATGTTTGTTACAGAGAAAAATTTGTCTTTATGCTCGTTTTTGCTGGTAAAATGTTGTTGAACTATAAACTTAAAATATTTACTTTCAATGTACCTAAGAGTAATAGGAACTTCTACTCAAAGTGACTGTTTTGACCGTAATCTTAAAATTAGATAATCTAAGATTGTTTGGGATAATGGTATAAACATTATCTTCCTTTATCCAACTTCCATTCAAATGTGTTTTAAATTCTTAGAAAAAGTTAAAAAAAAATCATCTATTAGGGCCTGGCCAGAGAGGTCAGTAGGTGAAGCTCTGGCCCAGAACCTATGTAAAACCTGTGTAGGCATGGCGGCCACCTGGAATTATAACTCTCGGGAGGCAAGAGTCAGGGGCCCCTGAGGCAAGATGGCCATCGAGACTCTAGGTCCAGAGAAAGATGCTGCCTGAGAAAAAGAGTGGGGAACAATCAAAGGCAATAACTCCTGGTCTCTGCATGGATACACGGTGCCTCCATCCACATGTGCACACACATGTGCACACACACATGTATGTGCACACACACAAACTCATGCCCATGAAAAGGTCTGATAAAAATAGGAGATTATGCTTTTTCGATGAATAATATCTTAGGCATAGGAGTTTTTTTTTTTTTAAATATATATCTTTCCAATTGTAGAGAAAACCTACAATTCAAGTTTAACATGTTTAGATGAATTTAGGTGAATTATAGAGCAGAAATGGAAATTCATTAAAGTTTGTCTGGTAAAGAATGATTCTAAGAATTATACTCATTATTCAAGTCTTGATTATCCCTGAATTCTCAAGTACTCTGTACTTATCAGAATGACTACGTACCTAGAACTTTCAGGACAAAATGCTTGCTGACTTCTCCAGCTTCATTTGAGGCACTGCAGGTGTATCTCCCAGAATCCTCAGTTTCTGTCTTGATGAGCTGAAGCACCATCCCTTGAGTGCCGATGGTCAGGTGAGCATCAAGCAGCAGAGGCTGGCCATCTCTGAGCCAGGACACACTAGGAGTTGGGGTTCCATCTGTAAAGCACGTCATAGAAGTAGAACTGCCTTTGACGATGGTGATTTCCTCTGTCCCCATTGCATTGTCCATATTTGGTGGCACTACACAGAAAATAAATCAGGTAAAATTTAGACATCTATTATAATTTGAAATGAACTTAAGTAACAGTACTTAAATAGTTCAATGCTATTTTTACATTCAATGAAACAACGTATTTAAAATAGTGTAGAGTAAATTGATCACTTTATTGTAAACCTATTTATTGGTTAGGCCAATTAGTATAATCATTCACAGATCAGTAAAGAATTCTCAACGTGTATTATATCTTGGTTACATTTTCAACTTTCTAGCATTGTCTCTTTTATTTGTTATGATGCTATAAGCAGTTCTTATAATAATCCAATAGTACACTTCCAACGACTATATGGAGAATGCAGTAATCGAATCAATTATATATATATACCACAGATTGCAGTTCTTAGAGTTCTTCTGAGATTACAGATTGAGAAATGTGAACCAGCAATCCACAGTATCTCATAAATGCAAATGCATCTATTTAAATTTTCTATATCTAAATAAACTGCTAATATTACTAGAAAATGAGTTTAATGTGTGTGTGTGTGTGTGTGTGTGTGTGTGTGTGTGTGTGTATGCATGTACACATGTGTGTATGAATCAAAAATCCTCTGTCTGGATTGAAATTCTATTTTGAAAACTTTAGTTCTGTTTGTTTATCATGGAATACACATGAAGCCAGAATACTGACCCAGGGAGTGTCTTAAGGGAGGAAGGATAGTGCAGAAGGAAAACACTGAGGATGGAATGACTTGGGTAGGAAGGGAGACAGGGGATGGGGAGATGAAAGTAATTGCTGAGGTAGATCAACCAAAATGAAAAAGTTATACAAAAACCTACTATCATATAACCCAAATTCACACACACACACACACACACACACACACACACACACACACACACAC